TACATCCTGCCCAGTCAGTATCAGAAAAAGCACTAACAAGTGTAGAATTAGAACATCTGAACTGAAGCCCTAAGCTCACAGTGTGCTTTATATATCTTACAATCCTTTTAACAGATGTCCAGTTTGCAGTAGTAGGTGCATGTAGATACTGACAAACCTTGTCTACAGCAAAAGATATGTCTGGTCTCGTCAGCGTTAAATACTGCAATGCTCCTACAACACTTTTGTATTTTGTGCTCTCTTCTTCCTTGAGTGGTTCTCCTTCAAATGCTGAAAGTTTTTCTGAGGAAGACAACGATGTAGGTGAAGGCTTACAGTCCTTCATCCCCATACGAGCTAGAAGTTCAGTGGCATGTTTCTCTTGATTTAGCACTATGCCATCTTGAATCTTCTTAACCTCAATGCCTAGGAAGAAGTGTAAGTCACCAAGATCCTTCAGTGCAAACTCTGAACTTAGATCATGCAGAAGAGCATTAGTAGCATTTTGCGAGGAGCTTGCAGCTATAATATCATCAAAATATATTAGCACGAATAAAACTGTAGTTCCCTTGTTATAGATGAAAAGTGACGTATCAGCTTTAGATGCAACAAAACTAAGACATCTTAACTGAGAACTCAACCTTGAGTACCATGCTCTTGGAGCTTGTTTCAGACCATAGAGTGCCTTATCAAGTCTACAAACATAATGAGGTGTTTTCTTGTCTGCATATCCAGGTGGTTGTCCCATGTAAACCTCCTCTTCCAGAACACCATGCAAAAACGTGTTCTGAACATCTAGCTATCTTAAACTCCATCCTCTAGACACAGCAATAGCTAACACAAGTCGAATAGTTGCAGCTTTAACAACCGGACTGAAAGTATCCTCATAATCTAACCCATACCGTTGTTTAAAACCTTTTGCAACTAGAGGTGCCTTATACCTGTCAACCGAGCCATCTGCCTTTTTCTTAATTCTGTAGACCCACTTACAGTCAATAATATTTTTACCTCTTTGCTCAGGTACAAGATGCCATGTCTTGTTCCTCATAAGCGTCATGTACTCTTCATCCATTGCATTTTTCCATCTTGGATCACTCAATGCAGTTTCCAAATTTGTTGGCTCCCTTGCAATGCACAACATGGCATATGGTACGGTACCATCAATTCGGACTTTTGGATTCATTATACCTTTTTGTAGTCGGGTCATAACACGAGATGTCGCAACTGGCTCCGGTTGAGAAGGACGTGTAGTTTGTTGTGCAGAAGCTGATGCAGGAGGTCCAGCCGCAGAAGATCCTGAAGCACTGGATTCACTTTGCACATCTGACCATGTCCCAGATCTAGTGGCCTGTGGTGTGTTTGAAGTTGCATTCATATCTGAATCGGTGGCCACAGAAGATCCGAGGGAATCCTGCACATGCGCAGGACTCAACCCCGAGCCAGTTGTCGCTGGCGAGCCGGTCGCTGGAATTGCCCCGCATGTGAGGTGCGGGCCCGACCCGGTCGCAGTCCTCTGCGCCAGCCCGCGTGTGGGACTCGCCCTGGCGGTCGCTGCTGGCGACGTGGCACACGCCCGCTGGCGGAAGAGGCTCCTGACAGGCACACGATCCAGAGACAATTCCCTCGTCCGATCCGGAAATTCCTGGCGTACAGGAGTTCAAGGTGACAACAGATCCGCCTCGGGTCCAACGCCTGCCTCGTCTCCTTCTTCTGCATGAAATATAGCCTCATTTTCTGCAAGGTTTTGATCATTTTCTACACCGTTTTCTGCTCCGTTTTCGTCATGAACCTGCACGTAAAGACAAAGTACTAGTGGTGGTAGAATTATCAGTTTGGTTAGTGCAACTGTCGCCCCCATGATCAAAACTTTGAAGATGTGTCGGAAGAAGAAGAATTTCTTGTCTAAGAAGTGCTCCGACATTTGGATGAAGAGATGCAAACGGAAAAACGGACTCGTCAAATACGACATCACGAGATATATAGACTCTGTTGGTGGAAACATCTAGACATTTAACCCCTTTGTGAATTGCACTGTATCCAAGAAATACACATTTTTTTGAACGAAAGGCCAGTTTACGAGTATTGTATGGCCTAAGGTTGGGCCAACATGCACAACCAAATAGACGAAGGGATTTATAATCTGGAGTGATACCAAAAAGATGTGTGATAGGAGTCTCACATTTGATGACTTTGCTCGGGAGCAAGTTAATGAGATATGTTGCAGTCAGGAATGCTTCATCCCAAAATTTCAGTGGCATAGAAGCATTAGCTAACAAGGCTAGCCCTACCTCAACAACATGGCGATGTTTGCATTCGGCAGAACCATTCTGTTGATGAGCATGCGGACACGAAACATGATGAGAGATGCCAAGTTGTTGGAAAAAAGAATTGAGCTTCTTGTATTCACCTCCCCAATCAGTTTGCATGGCAATGATTTTAGTGTTTAGTTTCCGCTCGACAAGATTTTGGAAATTCTTGAAAACTTGAAACACTTCAGACCGTTTCTTAAGAAGGTAGATCCATGTATATTTACTAAAATCATCGATAAAACTTACATAATATGAATGTCTACCAACTGAAGTAGGAGCTGGCCCCCAAACATCTGAGAATATAAGTTGTAAGGGAGCAGTAGAAACACTAATAGAAATAGGGTATGGTAACTGATGACTTTTAGCTTGTTGACATGGATCACAAACGGACTCAATACTAGACTCGTGAGAGTAGGGAAGGTTATTCTGACTAAGAATAAGCTTAACAATAACTGATGATGGATGACCTAATCTACTATGCCACTTTGCTGAAGAGGGCTTGACAGCAACAAAAGCTTGTTTATTTGACGACGATGATGATGAAGAGATGAGTGGGTAGAGGCCTCCCACGCACTTGCCCCTAAGAAGGATTCTCCTCGTGGCCAAGTCCTTAACAAAAAAGGATATAATTCAATGAGCACACGATTGTCAAGAGTAAACCGATGAATAGAGAGAAGATTCTTAGATGCTTCCGGCACATATAGAATTTTGTTTAGATGCAAATTTTTTCATGGGGGTTTTGACAATCGAACTACCAACATGAGTATTTTTCATACCAGAATCACTTGCGGTGTGTATTTGGTCTTGTCCACGGTACATGCCCTTGATCGTCGGCTTGTCCAGCTCTCCTGTGATGTGATGTGTAGCACCAGTATCTGCGTACCAGTTTGTGTCGATGCCGTAGGAGTCGGTGATAGCATGAGCCTCCTTCTCTTCGTACTCATCTTCCTCGTAACGATCCCAACACGCATGGGCACCCCCGCGGTGGTGCTTGAGGCATATCTGGCACTCCGGATAATCGCAAGGAGGTTGACGCTGTTGTTGATATTGTTGTGAACGACCCCGCGGGATTCTGCCACCGTTGCTGGCAGGGGAAGGTGGGCGCCTCCCACGGCCACGCCCTCTGGTGCCACGGGCTCGCCCCCGTGATCTGAATTGGCCGCGCCCTCTATAGGCCATATTGGCAGATGAGTGAAAGCCTCCTTCACCTCCATCACCAAGCATCTCCATACGCTAATCAAAGGCAGAAATTTGAGCGAACAAGTCATCAACAGTGATGGAGGTCTTGACGGCACCGATGGCTGCCACAACCGGATCGTAATCACGGTCAAGTCCGGCGAGGACATAGTCCACCATCTCGGGATCTGAAACAGGGCGCCCGGCTGCTGCTAGCTCGTCACCGAGAGACTTCATCTTAGCAATGTAGGAGGAGCTGTTCATGGTGCCCGTCTTGGTGGTGGTAATGGCGATCCGAAGGTTGGTGATGCGAGATTGGGATTGGGACGTGAAGAGGGTGGTGAGGGCAGTCCAGAGATCGAAGGTATGTTCTTTTCCGATGACTTGCGCGAGAATTTCCTTCGACAGAGTTCAGCAGGTAGCTCAGAACCTGCTGATCCTTCGAGAGCCAAGGTCCGTATAGGGGATTTGGCCCCATGGCCATGGTCTTGTCTTGCTGCTGCTGCTTCGTTTGCTTCGGAGGTGCTGCATCCGATCCATCCAGGAGCCCTGTCACCTGCGCTCCTCGCAGGGCGGGCATCACCTGGGCCTTCCAGAGGAGATAGTTGCCCTTGACAGCTTCTCAGACGGGGGTTGCCCAAGGTTGAGGACGACCGAAGCTGAGGCGGAAGACATGATCGCGATGGATGGGTGGGTGGTTTGTTTCTGTTTGTCGATAGATCTGTTTGTCGCTAGATTGGAAGAGGTGGCTCCGATCCCATGTAAAGAAGCGTTCCTACTCTTCCAGGGGAGAGCCGCATCGGTATATATTGATTCTGGCAATATGCCGTGCGATACAGGGAAGAGGTTGATTGCTAGGACTCAACCCTTCATACATGAGGAAACCTGGATAGCTACGAGAAGACAGGGAGTAGAGATAGAGTTTAGATGAGATTACAATACAGTTTAAAGTATTTCTAACAGTGCCTTCCCCGGCCTCTTTGTCAACAAGACGGGGTGCCGCTCCTTTTCATCCTTCTTCACGCCACCAGCCATGTGCGGTGTGTCTGGCTTCCGGGGGCCTGTCTACCCGCACGAGGCGATAATATACCAGTCATGTAACGGCCTCCTCCTCCTCGAGGAGTGGGATGGCTCCTACTACGTGCTCAACCCCGCGACGACACGGTATGCTCGTGTGTCGTGGTCATCGACGCCGTGGTGTAGGTATGGCGTATCCCTGGCTTTCGACCCTGCCGTGTCGTTACACTACCATGTGTTCCTCTTTCCGAATGGTGGCCTGCTCAAGGAGCCATTACCAGCTACTAAGTCGCAAGGTGAGGTTCCGCCGCTCAGGGAAGCACAAGCAGAGGGGGCAAAGGAGGCCAAGAAGAATGTGTTGCCAATGTTAATGTACTCATCATGCACAGGGCGATGGGAGGACCAAGAGTTCACGCCTGGGCGTTGTTCCCCGGGGCACCTCTATGACATGGTTGCCAGAACTCTCGAGAGCTAGGGGGTACATTTCATTCATCTAATTACTAGTGTGGGTCTGTCTACATGCATTGCGACAACAATGTCCTCGTGATCCTACGCCCCTCGAAGACCAGCAGTAACATCGAATCCAACTCAGCAAATTTGCTTATGTGGCAATGAGTTAATGAGGTGAGAGGTAGTAGTAGTAACTTAGCTAGTTACTGTAACATCACATGTCCCAATACAATATGAGTCTATAACCTAATAAATGAAGCTATACATGTTACCACACTTATGTTACTATTTATTATGAAGGTACTAACATAGTCTAGGAATACGCGTATGTTACTAGTGTATGTTATTCCCCATTATGGCTAGTCGAAGGGGACTTATGATATGGTCCAGCTTCCCGAGGAACCTTGCGGTGCAAGAAGCGGGCTCTCGCTGCCCAAAGATTCCGTCATAGCAAGCTATGAGAGAGGGGTACATTATGTGGCGACTAACAATTCACAGCTTCGAGTTTGGATGCTAAACGAATTGACCGGTGGACAGCTAGGTTGGACACTGTCGCACGACACCAACCTCAACCTGCATGGCGATATGATTCGCACTCTTAAAATAAAACCAAAGGTGACATGGAGGATTGTTGGAAGCAGAGGTGGTCCAGTCAGCTTGACCGACGAAGACGTTGATGACGACTGGGCCAGATCATATGACTCTGAACATTCCTGGAACTCGGATGAGGACAACTTCATCGACATGATTGGAGGCGCCGACCGCGACCAGTCGGTAGAACGAGGTGCCTATTGCAGTATCATGGGATTTCATCCGCACAAGAATGCACTCATCCTCATTCTTAGCAGCGCGGTGGTAGTGTACCATCTCGACACGTCAAGGATGCAATATCTAGGAGATGCGGATGAGCTCGATAAAGACCACACACAAGTAGCTTGTTGTGTCGATGATTCGTTCATTTACCGACCTTGCTATAAGGATATGCTCCCAACAGGGAAATTATGCATGCCACCTTAAAATGATATACAATCCTGTTATACATAGCGCTTGAAACGCTCCTTGCTCTTAGGCTTACCTACCTGGCTATGTGTGTCCTTCCCTGGTGATGGAGTTCTATTTGCTAGAAGAGAAGAAAAAAATGCTTGGTTGCTTTTAGTTAGTCGGATTAAGTCAGTTTTGCTATCGATTGATTATTTTACATACGTATGCACCGCTAATTGTATATTGGTTATTTGTCCTGAGAGAAGCGTTAAGTCTGGATTCAGAGGTGCAGAGTCGAGGGAGCCTATTGTGTTCAATGGATTATTTGCTGGACTGAAACCTGACCCTTTCACTATATCAAGTATTCAAGTGTCATGAATGCTTGTGCCAGTTTGGCTATTGCAAGGACAGGTGAGCAGATTCTGTGCTTTGCCAAAAAAATCTGGTTTTGGTCGGTTAACTGCCACAGGAAACTCTTGCATACGAAATTATGCAAGAGGAATATGCTCTGAGCCCAACAATCAAGCATTGCACATGTCATGTCGACCTTCTTGGTCGAGCTTGGAGACTATAGTTGATGCCGAGGCTTTTATAAGGGATTCAATCTTCCATGATGAAGCGGCCTTTGCTAGCGTCATGTCGTATCTGTCGAGACATGGAGAGAGGTCAACTTGTCGCAGACATGATAGTAGATCTATAGCCCAGTTCATTAGCATCCTATGTAAATCTCTACAACATTTAGCTGGATGCCGGGGAGCTCTCCTTAGCTTAAAAAATTAGAGATGTGATGAAAGAGCAAGGCGTGAAGAAAGAACCTGGTTTAATTAAGTTGGATTGAACTAAGGTCTATGGTTCACCCTCTTGTTGCCGGTGACAAGTACTCCCATCAGCTTCTAAGATTGCTAAATGGGATCGACAAATACTGATACTTCCAGCACAAAGTTAGATGACGTCACTAGAAACGGGCGAAGTTGGATGAATTGGCACAATGAGAAATTAGGTTTAGGGTTTAGGAATTAGGATTGATTCATTTACCACAGCCAGCACCTGAAGTAATGAAGAGTTCGAGAGTCTATCGTAACTGCCATTTAGCTATGAAATTGATATCAAAGAGTGAAAAAAGAGAAACAATCTTGAGAGATGCGACTTCCACCACTTCAGTGACAGTCCTAAATATACAATAATAAATTTAACAAACACAACAATGTACTGTATGTATCTATGGGTCTTGAAAGGGATATCCCCAGCCCCATCAGAGTTCAAGTCCTGGTGCTCGCATTTATTCCTGGATTTATTTCAGCATTTCCAGCGATGCGCATTCAGTGGGAGGAGGCGTTCCCGTTGATGACGAGGTGTCTACGGTGACTTCGTAAATTTTAAGATGATATGTCTGCTCAGTCTTTCGGAGGTGCTCATAGGGGTAGAGTGTGCGTGTGTGCGTTCATAGAGGTGAGTGTATGGGCGTGTATATGAGCCCTTGCGTCTGTAGTGTGTTCAGAAAAAAAAAGGAAGATTTATTTTCTGAAAGAAACTTGGGAAAACTGGGAATAATGACCACTGTCACGTGTTCGGCGTTCCCCTGATCCATCGGTGGGAAGGTAGCTGACCGAACCACCCGCTCAGTCTTCACTGCCGCTCCGAAGCCTGAACCCTCTCTTCTCCGGCGGCGCGCGGCACCCTCCCGGCGGGCGAGTCGCCGGAGCCCGCTCCCCCTCCTCCTCCCCCGGCGCCGTCTGGATGGGTAAGAACCCGCGCTCCTCCCACGAATCGAACCCCCACCAAAATTTCCCCTTTCTGATCCGTGCAGCGTAGGATCGTGCCTGCGCGCGGCTGATTTCCGGTGCAGAGCCCAGGTAGGCGCTGTTCCCTCGACCTTATCGCCCCCCTGACTTGCCCGGCTCTCACGGCGCTCTGTCGGGCAGCTCCCCAGGCTGTTTAGACCGGCGGCCTGCGGCGGCGGCGGGGCGAGGCCGGGCGCCGGATCCAGCATGCAGAGGGCGGGGCTCCTCACGCCGTTCCCCCTGAGGGCGCGGGCCACGGCCAGGACCTGCATGGTCTCCAGGTACCCGCCCTCTCCGCATCCGCAGCTGGCGCTAATTGCTTGTGTTACTGAAGTCTGAAATCAAATCCTCTGCAGCTTCGCCACGGAGTTGCTCGAGATAAGATCCAGGGAGCCTTCGCCGTCGCTCCACGTTCTGGTCGTCCCTGGCAATCCAGGTTGGTGACCGCCGGCGCGCCATAAATTATCTCTGCTTTTTCATGTGTTGAAGTGCTGATGCGTGAAGAAGGATCCGTCAGTCAGGGGCTTGTGTTGCTCTGATGTTTCTGTGTGGCTGGCAGGTATTGTTGGATTCTACAGGGACTTTGTCGAAGCCCTGTATGAAAACCTCGGCGGGCAGGCATCTGTTACGGGTAAGCTTGCTTGATCCATGTGTATTTTCGTCAATGTATTGATGTTGTTGCTTGCTGATGAACCTTGTGCATTGTTCAGCGATAGGGCACATTTCACATGGGCAGAAGGTAATAAACAGATTTCTTCAGTTTGATTCATATCGTCATGTTGAAATCGACAAGGGACAGTCACATGTATTGTTTATATTTATGGAAGACAGTTAAAAATGGTGATGGATTGTCTGGGATTATCATAGTTTCAGAGCATTGGATGTTCTTAGTGGTTTCCCTTAGACAGATACGTAGAGGGGGTTTTCTAAAGCATCAGGTTGTTAGGAATTTTTCTAGGTTCTTAGTGGTATTCATAACTTGGTTCAGGTTATAAATTTCTATTGAGAACTGGTGTTCCACTTGTGCGCTCTATTCACTACTTGCTATGATAAAAGTTTGGCAATCCCCTGCTTCTCAATAATTTGTTCTGTTAAACAAAACAATTTCAATGTTTTAGTCATCTTGGTTTCAAAGTTGTCATCCTTATTCACTGGCATGGTTAGGAATAAATGCACAACAATAATCCTTGTCAATGCACATTCTTTTATTGCTCCTCTGGCATGATGTTTAGTTGTTTACTATGATATGGTTGTTTTTTACTGTCTGGTCAGCATATTAAGGCCGCTGCTGTATATGATTGTTACACTACCCATGATAGGATTACGAGCACGGACGATTGTTTTCATTACACGAACAGATTGAGCACAAGGTTCGTTTTGGCATGCTTTCGTCGCTTCCAACTGCAACTGCTCTTCGTAATTTTGTTTCTGCTGCAAAAAGAAACACTCTTCTGAAACTTAATAGGAACAGGCGAACACTTTCCTGTTTCATTTTTCTCTCTCATCTTTTTCTCGACTATTGAGAATAGATTACTCATATTTCTCATGTCCATGTTTGCAGATTGATTTTCTTGAGCAAGAGCTTCTACATACCGAACAGTCCATAATTGTGGTATGCTTCTGTCTTCACCAACACAAGCTTCCTTTTATTAAATCCAAGCTGTCCTATGCTAGATTACTAGGTGGACAATTTAGTTGGTTTACTCTACAATACAAGTGTTTAAAACTTCATATAGTTTAAGTATTACATTGAGCCGAATAGAGGAAAAGGAAAGTCTGAGTGAATTTTGTGGAAAGGTGCCTGCACCTCTGCTTGACTTGCTGGCCCATGATCATTTTGTTTTGAGGTAATATCTTCATAAATATATTTTCATATGTAGTTCATTTGGCTTGCGCATGAAGACATCATAGTACTGAAGCGCTTGATTTGTTTACTCTTTCTGCAGTATTGTACAAAACTGTTAGTTATGTACAATTTGATCCAACTGTTAATATGTTTTTTACTGAAGAGTATGTGATTCGCTTGTACATGAAACAAAGCATCTAAGCTTAGTTCTGTATCAAATGTAGGTGGGTCATTCTATTGGCGCGTACATAGGTCTGGAAATATGCAAAAGATTTCAGAAGAAGGTATGAGTATTTATCCAAGTCTAGCACTCCTTTCAAAGTCCTTTCCTTAAGTCTGTACTTGCTGTTTCATTTTTGTTTTTGACACTCCTGGACAGGTAATTTTTTTTGTGGGGCTTTATCCATTTTTGACATTGAACAAGAATGCTATGAAGCAATCAGCAATTGGATATGTTGCAAGGTAGTAAATTCTTTAGAGTTTGGTTGCTTTTTTATGTATATTTATCAACACAACAATACCGGTTTGCTACTCCACAAAACTTGGATAATTCAAACAAGGCGATGTGATAGCATGAGCCGTGATAGGGAAAAAAAATCTAAAATTGTTGTTCTATTGAACAAGCAACACAACACATACAGGTTGCTAGACAGTAGGCAACTAGGAAGACAACCAACATATATAGCTGTCTATAGCTATTCTTAGTCCTAGTTATCATCTTATAGGAGGTTATTCAGTACCTTAATTTTGAGTTTCAAAGTTGAAATGATCATCATGCCTATTCCCAAATGAATATTATTCTTTCTCTGAACTTGATCTTCTCAAATGAACGTGTCAGGTCATCTCTCCTTAGTAAAGGGGTTAGTTTGTTAGTGTCTTTCATCGGCTCACTCCAGGCTTCAGTTACGAGGAGCATTGTGAAAAGGTTCCTTGGATCTTCTTGGTCTACAGCAGCCATTGATGCTGGATGTAGCCATCTCTTGCAGGTGCTCTGAGCTTCTTCCTATTTAGTTGGCCATCTGTTTTGTATTTTTCTCTTATCTGAAAACATGTCGATACATGTGCTCATTTTCTGCAAACCGTGCAGTACCATACGATGCGCAATGTGCTTTTCATGGCAAAGACAGAGTTCGAAAAGGTAAATGTTGATAATGCTACATCCAGCTGCATTATGGGTCACAAGAGTATTATAGGAGTATTATAATGCTACATTCAGCTGCATTACATGGCAAAGACAATTGCATTACTTGCAGTACTATACTAGAGTTTCTTACTATTTTCTACTTGCAAACCAGTTAGTTCTTGACCATGTTACTATGCACTTCAGCTTCACGAAGAGCCGGACTGGAATTTCATCAGAGCAAAACAGGACCAAATTGCTTTTCTGTTCGGTGTGGATGATCACTGGGGTCCACTAACTCACTTGGAAGAGGTGAATAGATCACATTCATTATTTCAACGGCATTATTCTGATCATGCGAGTTGTTATGTTGTATCATGGATAGCTTTGCTCATGTTAATTTGTCTGGGAGTGTTAAAATACAGATCTCAAGGCATGCTCCAGGGGTTGCCTTGTCGGTCGAGAAAGAAGGTCATACACACGGCTACTGCTGCACGGAGGCTGGATCCTTCTGGGTTGCTGACTACGTCGCAAACTTGATTAAAAACCAAATGCTCGTCGGAGATAGCTGATGGCAGACAATTATCTTCTTTTGATGAAGTAATATAGAAGTGTGATGCTGGATTCCAAATACTAGTGCCTATTTTGCATATGCTAATCCAGGATGACAGATCTCAAAAGTCACATGCTGAATACTGCTATCTAACTTGGCCTTCATGCAATATGTTTTCGTCCTCCTTTCGCTGATGAACCTGACAAGCAACAACTGCATCATTATTCTTACTGCATAAATCGTATGTGTGTTGATTGACTAGTTTTCGGAGATGCTTCTATATTGATTGACTCATTTTGTAGAAATAGTGCAGTGTACGTAAAGAACAATTCTTGGGATGATAAGAATCACATCTTTAGAATCATAGCAACATTACATATTACATTTATGTTTTCCTTAGCTATAGTTTTTACTTTTTGTACATAATTTTTCCCATTCAGTGTATGTTGATGTATTGGGGATGATAACTATTGCCATGATCTTGACTTAGAATCTAGATGAATGCTGGCAACAATCAAATCCAAAAACACATAGTTATATCAAAATTCCATAGGCCCATTCCCTAGAAACAATTTCATAGGTGCAAACACGATGTCAAATCGACATCTTACAAATATGATAGTTAGAATCATAGCAACATTACATATTACATTTGTTATGGCGCTGCTAGAAGGAGGGCGCGAGAGGGCCGGCCGGGGGCTTTTTTGCCCACGGCCGGGCAAGAGGGAAGGGATTTCCTTCTTAATTCTTGCTTGATTAGATTGATACATCTCCTCTCTTTATATAGAGAGGTTTACTTGACTCCCAAGCAAGGCTTACTTGACCCCTAAGCAAGCGACCCTTATCTCTAATTAATCCTAAGACTAATGGGCCCATTAGGCCCATTACGTACTCTAACACTACACCCCATCTGGACATACAGCTTGTCCTCGAGCTGCAGCCTAACCAACTTATAACCATGACTCGACGCAACAAAAACCTAACACCTAAAAACAAGCCTTTTACATCTCGGCTTGTTTTATTATTCTCAACCTGAAATGGACTGGGACGCTTTATTTTGGACCCCTTAACAAAAAGTAGACACCATCCGCACGTCGGACGTGCACGTGTATAGCCACCTGGATCCCATGGACACCACCTAGACAAAAGGAGTGCATGTGTATGACCACCTGGAAGTGGTCGCAAGAGTGACTAGGAGAGGCGCCCTCGCGGCGGCCGGTGGCGGAATGCAGTGGTGCTATGCGGTGCGCTGCTGTCGGTGACACCATGCCTTCTCCCTGCCGGACGGCTGTTGGTTTGCACCGCACAGGGAAGAGTGGAGGGCTTGCGATGGAGAATGACGAGGAGGGGTGCGCCCCCAACCGCCGACGTCGCAGACTTTGAGGTCGTTGCCCGCGGGGAAAACAGCATGCCCGCTGCCCGTGGGGGAAACCGCATGCCCAAGATCCCCGACACAGCGGATGAGATCGAGGTCCTTTGCGCAGCGAAGGGCAACTTGGAGGAGCGGCAGCTGCAGACCACGCATCTCCCGCACACGCCGACGTGCTAGGAGGCCGCGCGCAGCGGCCTGCAGCCTCACCGCCGCCGACACGTGGTGGGTAGCGATCCAAGACGAAAACGGTGACGGCGACGGCGGGGACTGGACTTGGTGAAGTGGGACTCCTGCCGGTGCGGTCGATGCGGGACCGGAGCTGACCGGCAGTGGCTGCTGCGGTGGTGCACCGGGCAGCGGCAGCGGCTGCTGCGGCGGAGCGCCAGGCGTGGCGGAGGCCGCCAGGAGCGGCGGCTGCCACTGCAGCCAGGGTTGGGCGGTGGTGGCGATGGATGGCAGCTGCAGCGGCTGCTGCAATGGCCCGGCGAGCGCGGCGAAGGCCGCTTGGTGCGGCGGCTGCCACGGCAGCCACAGCGGCGCGGGGGCGGCGATGGGCGCTGGAGGCGCGGCAGGAGCCGACGCCGGCCACTGTGGCCACTGTGGGGCGGTGGCGGCAGCTGCAGCTAGGGCTGCAGCGTCCCAGTGAACGCCGCGGAGGCCCCTGGATGCGGCGAGTACCACAGCAGGGCCGGCGGCCCGGTGACGGCGGTCGGCGGCAGGGGAGGCGGCGGCCCGTAGGGGCTGACCAGGTACAGCCGGATCCCCTGAACGGCTGTGACGAGGTCATTGAGGACCCAGTTGATCTCCTCCGGGGTGTAGGCGGTGGCCGGTGGTGAAGGAAATATGCCCTAGAGGCAATAATAAAGTTATTATTTATTTCCTTATATCATGATAAATGTTTATTATTCATGCTAGAATTGTATTAACCGGAAACATAATACATGTGTGAATACATAGACAAACAGAGTGTCACTAGTATGCCTCTACTTGACTAGCTCGTTAATCAAAGATGGTTATGTTTCCTAACCATGGACAAAGAGTTGTTATTTGATTAACAAGATCACATCATTAGTTGAATGATCTGATTGACATGACCCATTCCATTAGCTTAGCACCTGATCATTTAGTATGTTGCTATTGCTTTCTTCATGACTTATACATGTTCCTATGACTATGAGATTATGCAACTCCCGTTTACCGGAGGAACACTTTGTGTGCTACCAAACGTCACAACGTAACTGGGTGATTATAAAGGAGCTCTACAGGTGTCTCCAAAGGTACATGTTGGGTTGGCGTATTTCGAGATTAGGATTTGTCACTCCAATTGTCGGAGAGCTATCTCTGGGCCCTCTCGGTAATGCACATCACATAAGCCTTGCAAGCATTGCAACTAATGAGTTAGTTGTGAGATGATGTATTACGGAACGAGTAAAGAGACTTGCCGATAACGAGATTGAACTAGGTATTGGATACCGACGATCGAATCTCGGGCAAGTAACATACCGATGACAAAGGGGACAACGTATGTTGTTATGCGGTCTGACCGATAAAGATCTTCGTAGAATATGTAGGAGCCAATATGGGCATCCAGGTCCCGCTATTGGTTATTAACCGGAGATGTGTCTCGGTCATGTCTACATTGTTCTCGAACCGTAGGGTCCGCACGCTTAACGTTACGATGACAGTTATTATGAGTTTATGTATTTTGATGTACCGAAGGTTGTTCGGAGTCCCGGATGTGATCACGGACATGACGAGGAGTCTCGAAATGGTCGAGACATAAAGATCGATATATTGGAAGCCTATATTTGAACATCGGAATCATTCCGGGTGAAATCGGGAGTTTACCGGAGTACCGGGGGGTTACCGGAACCCCCCGGGGGTTATTGGGCCTACATGAGCCATAAGGGAGAAGAGGAGGGCCGGCCAGGGCAGGCCGCGTGCCCCCTCCCCCCTAGTCCGAATAGGACAAGGAAGGGAGGGGGCGGCGCCCCCCTTTCCTCTTCCCCTTCCCCCTTTCCTTCTCCAACAAGGCAAGAGGGGGGGGGGAGTCCTACTCCCGGTGGGAGTAGGACTCCTCCAGGCGCACCCCAAGGGGGCCGGCCGCACCTCCCCCTCCCTCCTTTATATACGGGGGCAGGGGGGCACCCTAGAACACACAAGTTGATCTTCGTGATCGTTCCTTAGCCGTGTGCGGTGCCCCCCTCCACGATATTACACCTCGATCATATTGTAGCGGTGCTTAGGCGAAGCCCTGCGACGGTTGAACATCAAGATCGTCACCACGCCGTCGTGCTGAACGTGTGCCAAGAACTCCTCCCCGAAGCTTTGCTGGATCGGAGCCCGGGGAGCGTCATCGAGCTGAACGTGTGCCAAGAACTCGGAGGTGCCGGAGTAACGGTGCTTGGATCGGTTGGACCGGGAAGACGTACGACTACTTCCTCTACGTTGCGTCAACGCTTCCGCTTCGGTCTACGAGGGTACGTAGACAACACTCTCCCCTCTCGTTGCTATGCATCACCATGATCTTGCGTGTGCGTAGGAATTTTTTTGAAATTACTACGTTCCCCAACAGTGGCATCCGAGCCTAGGTTTTATGGTTTGATGTTATATGCACGAGTAGAACACAAGTGAGTTGTGGGCGATATAAGTCATACTGCTTACCAGCATGTCATACTTTGGTTCGGTGGTATTGTTGGATGAAGCGACCCGGACCGACATTACGCGTACGCTTACGCGAGACTGGTTCTACCGCCGTACTTTGCACACAGGTGGCTGGCGGGTGTCAGTTTCTCCAATTTTAGTTGAACCGAGTGTGGCTACGCCCGGTCCTTGCGAAGGTTAAAACAGCACTAACTTGACAAACTATCGTTGTGGTTTTGATGTGTAGGTAAGATTGGTTCTTGCTAAGCCCGTAGCAGCCACGTAAAATTTGCAACAACAAAGTAGAGGACGTCTAACTTGTTTTTGCAGGGCATGTTGTGATGTGATATGGTCAAGACATGATGCTAAATTTTATTGTATGAGATGATCATGTTTTGTAACCGAGTTATCGGCAACTGGCAGGAGCCATATGGTTGTCGCTTTATTGTATGCAATGCAATCGCCCTGTAATGCTTTACTTTATCACTAAGCGGTAGCAATAGTCGTAGAAGCATAAGATTGGCGAGACGACAACGATGCTACGATGGAGATCAAGGTGTCGCGCCGTGACGATGGTGATCATGACGGTGCTTCGAAGATGGAGATCACAAGCACAAGATGATGATGGCCATATCATATCACTTATATTGATTGCATGTGATGTTTATCTTTTATGCATCTTATCTTGCTTTGATTGACGGTAGCATTTTAAAGATGATCTCTCACTAATTATCAAGAAGTGTTCTCCCTGAGTACGCACCGTTGCGAAAGTTCTTCGTGCTGAGACACCACATGATGATCGGGTGTGATAGGCTCTACGTTCAAATACAACGGGTGCAAAACAGTTGCACACACGGAATACTCAGGTTATACTTGACGAGCCAAGCATATACAGATATGGCCTCGGAACACGGAGACCGAAAGGTCGAGCGTGAATCATATAGTAGATATGATCAACATAGTGATGTTCACCATTGAAACTACTCCATCTCACGTGATGATCG